TCCAATTATCTTGTGTGCATCTAAGACTTTCTTTTTGGGGCGCCTGGGTGGCTCAGTTGGTTAAGCGACTGCCTTCGGCTCAGGTCATGATCCTGGAGTCCCGGGATCGAGTCCTGCATCGGGCTCCCTGTTCAGCGGGGAGTCTGCTTCTCCCTCTGACCCTCTTCCCTCTCGTGCTATCTCTCATTCTCTCTCTCTCAAATAAATAAATAAAATCTTTAAAAAATATATTTAAAAAAAGACTTTCTTTTCTTCTTTTTTTAAAATATTAAAATAAGAAAAGATTTTGGCCTTTAAGACTAATGATTTCCTGTTTTTCTTCTACAATAGAATTAACTGGAAATGTCAACTTAAGTACATTACTGAAAGCTACTTTATCAATTTTCTTCTAAAAGATAAAGTCAGAGCAGGGGGAGAAAATGAATGACCAAAGGAAAACTTCATACTAAGGAATGACTTCAACAGCCATTCCTTTTCCCCTGAGCTTTGAGACTCGAGATATACCTAACTGTTCATGAACCTAATCTTTAAATACAAAGAAACACTGGCTGCTATACTTTGTTTGTATTTCTTGACCTGGTTTTGGTTCATGTATGGTAGAAGCACAGAGGTCTTACTAGAATTATGATACAAACAAAAATAATAAATGTATTTATTTCTATAGCTTTAAGTATTCAAAAAGATGTGCAAATACAATTTGGTCCTTAGAACATACTGAAAAGGCTAGGTTACTATTGTCTCTATTCTACAGGCGCTCATGTTCAATGAACGCTAATTGCTAAATTGGGAAAACATTTATCTTGTCCTGTATAGACGACGTTCCTCAATTATGTGTGATTAATGCCTTTTTTCAAGCATTCGACATCGCTTTTGATCAGTGAAAGATCATCCAACTTATCAAATCATTCTGTTCATTTAAGTCCAGTTCCTACGTGGCCACAGTAGAGTCTGTAAAATGTATACTCTTTCTTAGAACGTCTCTACATCAGGAGAAAATGGTGCTGATTCTTTGGAGATATCTCATTAGAAAAACCAAAACATGAGTATTCTGTAGAAACTTAACTTGGGAGCTAGCATTAAGCAGGAGCCTGATCTAACAATATGTCTGGAGGCAGCTGTGAGGGGTGGTTACATTACAGCAATTCGCATCTCAGTCCCACCACTTGCCAAGTTGTGAGACCTCAACCTCTGGGCGCCTCACTTTACTCATTTGTAAAATGGGGTAATTATAGTCCCTATTTTATACAGTTGTGAGGATTGAGATAAGACACTTAGAGCATTTACAACAATGTGTAGTAGAGAGTAGGCATTAAATAAATATTAGCTCTCATCTAGGGAAATTTCAAGTGTTATTTGATTATAGACTTAAAAAAACCCTAAATTGACAAATTATTTCTTTTTGCAATGTCACTTCACAGTTCTGTAGCAGAAGTTAGAAATGATTTTTTTTTTTAAGTTGTGAGAAAATTCCCAAATTAACACATCATTAAGTCAGAAAAGACTGACTATAGCAGAATCTGTAACTTTTACATTTGGTCAAACAGGGAAAAAGTCTTTTATCCTCTTCACATAGAAGAAAAGCTATATGTAATTAGTGTGTGCAGCATATATCTTTCTTGGCATTCAAAAGCATTAGAAGAACACATTAATTTCCAAGAGAGTTTTGAAAAATACTAGTCCCTAGAGTTCAGGCTGCTTTTTTAGAAAAAAATCTCTCAACACAGAGGAATGGAATCTGAAATTAAGAGGGCCTGAGTACCCAGATTTAGGTATAAACTTTGAACAAGTTATTTAATCTCTCTGTGATCACTTCTAAAATGAGAATGTCTTCTCCTTCAAATGAGCTAATGTGTATCAGTGTGCCCTCTGAACCATAAATTAAAAATTTCTAAAGTCAAACTTTTGTTTTATAAGCATATCTTCCTCAAGGATATAAAATTGTTTCACTGACCAGAAACATACTTGTATTGAAAATTCAACAAATGCTGCAAAAATCAATCAATTATAAGCTAAACTGCACTCATTGAAATTTGAATGAGAAATTTCAAAATAAGAATTTTGTGCTATTTACAAAAGTCAAGTAGCATATACTACTTCTGGTCTCATTTAAAAAATTTTCTAGAGAGTGAATTGATTTATAAAAATGCAGTAATATACCTAGGCATAAGTTTCTGCATATGTAAAAATGTTTTTTCATGTTTATAACTCATTTAAAATTTTGACTTTTTTTTCCAGATGACATTTAAAAAGTTACAGATAAGTAATATTGCATGACTGAAGCACTGGTTAGCTAGAATTACTAGTGGAACAGTGGCATCTTTGCACACATTTCTCTTTTAATATCTGTCTTTGCCATTCACAGCCATTCTGAGTGTTAAGTATTCCCTTCCTGCTCTTTGAGGGCATTACTTTTGGAGAATCACTTGGTTTTAAATACAGACCTATCTCACAGTTCTCACAATGAGGTAAGTTGTGTTATAATGTTCAGCAAATTTTGTATTTTATGGTAGGAAAAAAACACTAAACACAGCCAAATATACACGTTGCTTTGCAATGTTGCAGTGACTAAAGTGAACACTGCACTACAGGCTAATCTTTTAGTCAATAGAGAGTAATTCAGAGCTGCACCTTCAGAATGTAAACAGGGGAAATTCAGTCTTTCAAAAGGCAAAGGATAACTTTAAGTACTGAGTTCAAAGGATTTAATGACTTCATTACACATCGCAGTAGGCATTTAGTATCAATGTAAAAAAAAAATCCAGACCTTTTTTTTTTAAATTAAAAGGTGGTAACATAACACCCAGCTGTTCAAGCACTTCTCCTTGTTTTAACGTACTTGTATTCAGGTATTCCTACTCCCAGAAATACTGGCAACTGAGAGATATAGAGAGATTTTTAAAACTCAGGTTTCCATAATTGCAGAGTTGTTCCTTATAGCTTAGTGGGGCTTGGTGCAGCCTAAACAAGAATTTGAAAGTGATTTGGCAGACAAAAATGAAATACATTTGAAAAGGCCGTTGCCCCCCACCCCCCAATCAAAACAACCCAAAACGCTATCATTTACTACTGGTTATCACAAGTATCTGCTTTTATAGGGCTATCTCAACTCATTCTGTCAACTTCGGGTAAGACTTTGTTTCTCCTGCTTCTAACCCTATCAGCACAATCACAGAGGGTATTTAGGGTCCAAGGGGGTGTTGAGCTGTTGTTGTTTGGGGTAATTTAAAACTTGGACCTAATGCAACACTGAGAGATCAAGAGCATTTTCTTTCACACTAGTCCAAAGAAACACATTTGGTCTATCTACATTCCATTGCAGGTTCAATTGTATAAGATAGTTTCTATTTTCCATTCACAAACTGTTGAAATAGCAAGTCGGATTTGCATTTCAACAATGGATGGCCACCATTAACCACCCGTTTCACTTGCAACAAGAACTGCTGGGTATTAAAAAAAATTATTGTAAAATACACCAATGGCCATGGGTATGTAAAAATACAGTCATTCACATAATCATGAATATCCTAAAACAAGTACGATCTTTTCAAATATAGTTCATGTTTATTATCACACCATTTTACATATTTGTGCGCACCTACTTTGTACCTAGCACAAAGCTCCACATTAGCAATTTAAAGTAAAAAAGGTAGTCCTGTTTGGGTTCAGTGGGGGAGACCACAGAAAAAGCAACAATATATCATAACTTTGATAAGAGGATCTACACGGGATGTTTAGGGTGCATTTGGTGACATACCGAAGGATGGAATGAAGACAATAGTTTAAAGTAACCTAAAGGTAATGCACCGAATTGACAACTAGGTGTCTATCAAACTGTTTTAAGAGACTACGGCTCTTTATGCTTAAACAAGCTCCTGAAATAGGATTATAGATCTCTAAATTTGTGAGATTTCCTAAATTAGTTGTCTAACCATAAAAGTTTAGTTACCCAACAACCTAAGTTAAAAAAAAAAATTCTAGGATTTTCCGTATCAGTTTGTTGTTAATTCCTGGGCGAGAAGTACATTCTCGCTTCGTAGTACATTCTAGCTTAGAGCTAGAACGTTTTGACGGGGAATGCTAGGGAAGCAACTTCCAGTAAATTGCCTCCTATCAAACCTAACATTGCTTCTGTAAAACTATGCTCAGACCATGCAGGTTTTTTTTTTTTTAAACTGGATTTGCAGATGGCCCTTTTTCTTTTCAAACCGTAAGAGGTGGTCTTCATTTATCACTGCACTCGTGTTGCCACCAAGACTTGTCTTTTAAGTCAAATCTGTGGGGGCTATAGCCTGGACAATTCAATGGAAAGACCTTTCTGCTGGAGATAAGCTCCACCTGTTGAGGTCAATTAGTTTACAGGGCTAGGCTCCTTCTTCCCTCCAGGTAGGGATGGAGTGCAAGCACGCCATCTCTAGAGAAGAGCCTACCCGGGAAGAACTTAGGCAATTAATAGCAAACAGCTGCAACATCTGCCTGGCTAGCTCACCCCTGCCCGTCGAAGGGCGAGGGGACCGCATGGCAGCCACAACGGCACTGCACAAAAGGCAACACCTATCTTGAGGACACTCCGGCTCTGCGTGGACCGCACAGCTCCCGGCGTAGGGGCCTCCGCCTAAGGGGTGCGGGCGACGCGGGCCGGGGGCGAGCCCAGGTGCGGCGAGGGGGAGGAGGGCTCCGCCACGCGCCAAGGAAGAAAGCCTGACTCATGTCGTGTCGTGGCGGTGGCGGCAGCGGCGTCAGGCTCCTGGGAACTGAAACTCGTGATGCTGTTGCTGCGGAGAAAAGCCTCATTACCCATTCCGCAGGCGGGGGGACACCACCCAGGGCGCGTACAGCCGAGACCCAGGGCTCCAGCAGCCTCCGCGGGCCCCTCCCCGCCGCGCCCCCTCCCCCGCCGCGTGCTCGCGCGCGCGCACCGGCCGCGTGTGAGAACAGAGCGGACACACCTAAGCTGCGCGCGCCCCGCACCCTGCCCCACCCCCACTCGGGCCGAAACTCACAGGCCGACCCGGATTCGCTCCCCCGGCCGAAATCCGCCCCCCCCACCCCGGCGTGGGCGCCTCCGCGAGCCTTCGGCAATTTCCGTCGGGAGACCCAGCGCTCGGCAAGGCCCGAAGCCCCGGCACCTCCCCTGCCGGACCCGGCTTTATGTCTGCAGCGCCGGGGCGCATGCGCAGACGCCATCTTCCCTCCTTCTCTTTTGCTTGCCCCCTCCCCCCGCCACCGCCACCGCCACCGCCACCGCCTCCTCTCGCCGGCGGTCGCCCCTCCTCCTCCTGCGCTCGGGCGCTGGTCCCTCCTCTCTCGATGCCGCGAGAGACTGGGGGATACGGTGGAGCCGGAGAAGAGCACTAGTAACAACCATCACAGCCCCCTCCCCGCCCGCCGCCCTCCCTCGGCACCCACCCACTCACCCGCCCCGTTTGCCGACACCGACCAACCCCACCTCTCGTTCCTTTGAACGGCGTCGGCTGCAGTCGCTTGCACCAGCCCGTCTGGCCACCAACGCCGCCGAGAAGGAGCCGCCGCTGCCTGCGGCCCCCTCCCGCCCGGGCCCCGGGAGCAGCAGGGTGAGGACGAGCCGGCTGCGGAGGAAGAGGACAGGAGCGGTTCGCACCCTTCTGCGCTAGCGCACACCCCGCCGCCCTCCGGGGAGGCTCGGGCGCCGGCCCCTTCCTCCCCGAGGACGTGTGCCGAGCCGAGGAGCCTGCCCTGAGGAAGGAAAATGCTCGGGCTCCATGGCTGCCAGTGATGGAGCGGTCCCTGGGCTCCCGCTGCCACTGCCGCCGCCGCGCCCCGGCCGTGCTCCGCGAGGACCCGGCGTCTCTGCGCGCCCGCCCGCGCCTCGTTGCTGGGTTCACCGTACCGGGCGCCCCGCCGCCGCCCCGCTCCGAGCCTCGCCGCCCCGGCCCCAGCCGCGGCCAGCGTTTGCTCACGGAACAGCCGCCGCGAGCCCAGGGGGTTTGAAAGGGTCTGAGGGGCGTGGGGGGAGGGCCGAGCGGGGACAGCGGGGCCGGGAGGGGAGGTTTGAGCGACACTGAGCTCGGGGCTCGCCGGCGGCGGCGGCGCTGGGGTGGCGAGGGGAAGGCGACACTCGCTCCGCGCTGCCTTCGTGCAGAGCGACCGGGAGGGTTTTGCAGCGGCCGCCGCCGCCGCGGCGGGAGGAGGGGTTGAGGTGGTTTTTGAGTTGTCCGGAGAAGGTGGGCATTTCTCGGTTTTCCCACCCCCCCCTTGTCTCCCCCTTGCCTTGTCTCCCCCCTCCCTCCTGCCCCGCACCCCACGTGAAGCGGAATATAAAGGGGGGTGTGAGACTAGAGGGGAAAGTGAATGGCGAAGGACTGAAGGGGTCCCCCCTTCGGGTCCCTGGCCGCCCTGTTCACCCTCGTTCATCCTCCCTTCCCGAAGCTCGCCCTCGAAGGCAGGAGCGGCCGGCGCCTTCGGCTGAGAAGGAGGAGAAGGAGGAACCGCGCCGGGCGGAGCGTCAGGTCCCGTTTTTCCTCCCCGGCGTCTTGAATACAAAGCTTACGGTGCAGAAGGAAATTGCACTCGCCTCCTCCGCCCCCCGGTACCCTACACAATGCACCAGCCGCCTGAGTCCACCGCCGCCGCGGCCGCGGCCGCTGCAGACATTAGTGCTAGGAAGATGGCGCACCCGGCAATGTTCCCCAGAAGGGGCAGCGGTAGTGGCAGCGCCTCTGCTCTCAGTGCAGCAGGTACCGGCGTTGGTAGTAGTGCCACATCTTCCGAGGATTTTCCGCCTCCGTCGCTGCTCCAGCCGCCACCTCCTGCAGCATCTTCTACGTCGGGACCACAGCCTCCGCCTCCACAAAGCCTGAACCTCCTTTCGCAGGCTCAGCTGCAGGCACAGCCTCTTGCGCCAGGCGGAACTCAAATGAAAAAGAAAAGTGGCTTCCAGATAACTAGCGTTACCCCGGCTCAGATCTCCGCCAGCATCAGCTCTAACAACAGTATAGCAGAGGACACTGAGAGCTATGATGATCTGGATGAATCTCACACGGAAGATCTGTCTTCTTCCGAAATCCTTGATGTGTCACTTTCCAGGGCTACTGACTTGGGGGAGCCTGAACGCAGCTCCTCAGAAGAGACTCTAAATAACTTCCAGGAAGCTGAGACACCTGGGGCAGTCTCTCCCAACCAGCCCCACCTTCCGCAGCCTCATTTGCCTCACCTTCCCCAACAGAATGTTGTGATCAATGGGAATGCTCATCCACACCACCTCCATCACCACCATCACATTCATCATGGGCACCACCTACACCATGGGCACCACCATCCATCCCATGCTGGTGTGGCCAGTACATCCATTCCCGGAGGGCCACCCTCGAGTCCAGTATCCAAAAAACTCTCTGCCACTGGAAGCTCTGACGGTGTTATACCGGCTGCACCAACTTCTGCTGTATCATCGGGTGGCTCACCTGCATCTGTAATGACTAATATCCGTGCTCCAAGTACGACCGGCAGTATAGGTATAAGTTCCGTTACTGGCACTCATACAGTGAATAATGTTAACATTACTGCTGTGGGTAGTTTTAATCCTAGTGTGACAAGCAGCATGCTTAGTAATGCTAATATAAATGCAAGCAATATTGCTAGTGCTGCTAGTGTGAGTGTTGGGCCTGGAGTTAGCGGCGGTGTTAATGTGAATATCTTGAGTGGCATGGGCAATGGTACTATTTCTTCCTCCGCTGGTGTTAACAGTGCCCCTAATGCAGCTGCAGGGATGACTGTGGGATCAGTTTCAAGTCAGCAGCAACAACCCACAGTTAACACGTCAAGGTTCAGAGTTGTGAAGTTAGATTCTAGTTCTGAACCCTTTAAAAAAGGTAGATGGACTTGCACCGAGTTCTATGAGAAGGAAAATGCTGTACCTGCTGCAGAAGGTGTGGCGATAAATAAAGTGGTGGAAACTGTAAAACAAAACCCGGTAGAAGTGACTTCTGAGAGGGAGAGCACTAGCGGGAGCTCAGTGAGCAGTAGCGTCAGCACACTGAGTCACTACACAGAGAGTGTGGGAAGTGGAGAGATGGGGGCCCCTACCGTGGTGGTGCAGCAGCCGCCGCCGCAGCCGGCTCTTCAAGGTACAGCTCTTCAGCAGATGGACTTCAGTGGCTCCGGTGCTCCTGGTGTTTCTCAGTCACAGATCACGCAAGTACAGTTACAGTCTCAAGAACTGAGCTATCCTCAACTGCAAGCCACGCTCAGTGCTGCAGCTGGTATCCAGTCGTCACCTGTTGGTGTGGTTGGTGTAACTTCAGCTTTAGGTCAGCAGCCTTCCGTTTCCAGTTTGGCTCAACCCCAGCTGCCATACTCTCAGACGGCTCCTCCAGTGCAAGCCCCCCTTCCGGGGGCACCACCCCAACAGTTACAGTATGGACAGCAGCAAGCGGCTGTTTGTACGCAGCCGGTCCCGAGCCATGGTAAAGCAGTGACTCAGAATCCCACTGCAGAGTATGTACAGCCGCAGCCGGTTCTTCAAACAGCGGTGTCCTCGGGACAGCCCAGTGCTGCAGGAGTGGCAGCAGGGACAACAGTGATACCTACGGCCCAGACGCAGAGTCTCCAGCTGCCCGTGCAGCCCGCTGCAATCCAGGCACAACCTGCAGGGGCATCTGGCCAGCCCGTGGGCCAGGCTCACACGGCAGGATCTGTTGCACCTACTGGCAGTCAAATTGCAAATATTGGTCAACAAGCAAATATACCTACCGCGGTGCAGCTGCCCTCTACCCAAGTCACACCTTCAGTTACTCAGCAAGGTGCTCCTCCATCTTCACAGATAGGTCCACCCGCTCAAACTGCGATTACTCATCAGGGAGTTCAGACTAGTGCTTCGAGCCTTCCTCAACAATTGGTCCTTGCCCCCCAGAGTACCTTGTTACCTGTGCCTCCCCAGCCACAAGGAGTAGAATCAGTAGCTCAAGTTTCGCAGCAGTTGCCTGCAGTTAGTCCTCTGCCCTCTGCTAGTGGTATTTCTGTTACCAATCAGGTTAGTTCAGCTGGTCCTTCTGCAATGCCTTCTGCCCCCACAAACTTGGTTCCACCACAGAATATAGCACAGACCCCTGCCACTCAAAATGGTAATTTGGTTCCAAGTGTTAGTCAACCTCCCTTGATAGCAACTAATATAAATCTGCCTTTGGCACCACAGATCCCGCTAGGTTCTACTCAGTTCTCTGCACAATCCTTAGCTCAGGCGATTGGAAGCCAAATTGAAGATGCCAGGCGCCCAGCGGCACCCTCCTTAGTGGGCTTACCTCAGACTATGAGCGGTGACAGTGGGGCAATGTCAGCAGTTTCAGATGGGAGTAGCAGCAGCCTAGCAGCCTCTGCTTCTCTTTTCCCGTTGAAGGTGCTACCGCTGACGACACCCCTGGTGGATGGCGAGGATGAGAGGTAAGCTCATGCCATGTTTCTGCAGACATTCAGCAGCTTCAGACTTAATCTGTTTAGTAGCTGTGCATATGCACGACATTTGTCGAAGGCATTACATATTTTTTCATTTTTGTATATGAAAATGCGTTTTCGCGGTAAGTTCCCTAGCGCAAGAGTGTTATGGAATGGTTTCAGAGTGGATAGCAAGTGGGTGTAAGTAATACGTAAACTATTTGACAGACGAGTTATTGAGCATTACGTGTAGGCCTGGGGGGCACCGAGTGGTTTTTGTTACTCATAAAATGCTTTTTTAAAGAGATTTATTATGAACAGAAAATTTGTGCTAACCAGTATAATAGTAAGTCTATTCGTTTGAATTCCTAAAATCCTTGTGATCATCTCTTGAAGGGGGGTTGTGCCTCCCATGGTGGTTTCTCCTTTACTAGGTTGGACAATCCTTTTCTACTACTGTGTTTGATCTTAGTCTGTGAAAGATAATGTTACCTGCTTTTCCCAGTCAGACATTATAGGAAAGATGACCTAGTCTGGGTTATATAGGTTGCCCTTGTACTGTAATTGACCAACTTCTGTGTACTTATTTAATGGTCATTTTATCTGAACAGAACAGGAATGGGAATCTTAAGTATGTCATGGGGGAGGAGGGTATACACTGTCAAAATTACCAGATTCATCTTTGATAGTAGTATCCTGTACATTTTTCCTTTTGTATAAGTAGATCAAGGTGGTAGCCATTTTAAAGAGTAAGGAAAGTCTTG